TCATATGCCTCAAATCTGATTTCCGTCGCTATTCGGTATCCCGCCATCCATCCGTGTTTAGCCCCCCGAAACTCCTCCTGACCCATACTCCGGCTACGGTCACGGATGCGGATGCGGGGTGACCTCTTCCGCACTTTCATCTCCGGAGCTTCAGTGAGATTCGACCAGAACCGCCACATGATGATGGCGAGAAAGCCAAGCTTTTCGGACTCGATCTGTTTCGTTGATGCAGTTGTTTTGCGTCTCAAGTGTTTGCGTCTTTGGTTATTTCTCCGCATTTCCATATTCCTGAGCTTGAGAACCTGCAGGTAAACAGCTCACTATCAAAACATGTGTATAGCTTCACACGACGAGAGTGAACAGCTTAATATGAGTAGCATATCCCACTCCGTACAACTAGCATTTCATCTAATATTTACTTATTTTTCCTTCAAAAGAAGAATACAAACCTGAAATGGCGAAACTCATATTATCGCATCGTCTAAAATATCAGCATACCTTCCTACCCTGAATCTCCGGACAACCGGCGTCTATTAAACCCTCAAGGTTCATCATCCTCATCCCCTACCTTTCCTCTCTTTGTGATCCCATTCAGAAAGTGTCCCACAACGCCGTAACATCTCCGACCTGTCACCCAAAACCCAACTTAGCATAGTCTGAGGCTGCCAAAGTTGCCCCTGGCGTTAGTTATAGTGCTGGCGTTTTCCCCCACCGCCGGAGGTCGAAGCCGGCTTCGGGAACATAGCTCGCATCCGTAGCAGCTCGGCGCCTGGTAATGTTCTCGGATCAGAGAGTCACACTTCACCCGCGAGGAAAATTTGGAGGTTGATGAGGCTCAGTGAAATAACTTGAATGGCTGGAGCGATTTCAGTCTAACCGCGCTTTTCAACTTCTAGCAAAGAATTCCAGTTGGAATCAACATCTTTTCCTCGTTACTCCACGAGACCCCATTAACCGTATCCTACACCAAAAAGAAATCCATTGTCCTAATTTTCATCGCAGAATGTCGTTCCATCCGTATTGCTTGAATGCCGAGCCCCAGACCGTGATGCCATCCCACAATCCGTCTACCTATTTATCCGATCCGTAAAGCGCCAACCCATAAATCATACCTATCATAAACCCAACCCTACTCTGCCCAGTCGTCATGAAGCAAATACGACGACATTAGCCCGTACCTTTTAGCAAATATGAACTTACATCAGAAACCCAAACAACAGAGGGGCTGGTATCGGCATGGGAGCTCCATCATCATAGTCATCAAAATCACTCGAGTTTCCCTCACCCCATCCGTCTTCCCCATCTTGCTCCCCTTGATCATTTTCATCTTCTTCGTCTTCATCCCCATCCCCTCCGCCCATGTAGGGAGGGAAAAGCTCGAATGGAACTCCATCGCTATCGACGTCATAGTAATCTGAATGATCGTCAATCTCGTCACTGACAGAGCCATATTCGAAGTCTTCCCCTTCCTCTTCCTCTTCAGCATCCTCGCCCTCAACATCCATTCCAATAGTAGCATTGAGTATCTCCGACACCGAGGGTTCCACATAGGCTATGTCGAGGGCCTCCAGGACCTTTCGCCCCTCGACTTTTAGGACCTCGGTTTTCGGAATCGCTTGCTCCACGAGTTCTTTGACATCTTCATCATCAAGCGTTGTGACATCAGTTCGGAGACCAGCTGAAATCAACCGGCTGGTAAATGTCCAGTTGAGTTGAGGTACACGATCATCTGATCTTCCGACTAGAACCCTGCTTGGATGGGGCTCCCAGTGTATAAGAGATGACCAGCATTCTCGATGTAGCCTCTCTGGTTTGCCGCGCAACGCGTGCGGATGTTTGGCGAGAAGTTGACATGTCTGTGGCTGATAACCATGAGTTATGGTATACATGAGAGCACCGTCAGGCATGGCGTTTGTAGGCATATGGATGTCAGCACCCCCATTTACAAGAACAGGTGTTGTCCGCCAACAAGACCCAGATTTGAAACTATAATACAACGGTGGCTCGCCCTCAAACAGCTCATTCGGGTCCTGGCCGCGATCAAGAAGCACTTGAATCAGGCTTGATGGCTCGTCGGCAATCGGAGAAGGCTTCTCCAAGCACCGGTAGATTAACCCCTTACGGAACACGCTCGGGGTTGGTACCGACCTCATCAGGTCGGCGGCTCGTGTCCAGAGCTGATTGTTCAGAGCCGTTTTGAGAAGATCCACCAAGAAGCCCTCGGAGGGACCTGAGATGCCGTACTTGGCGTAATCGATGTGCAGAATGAAATCCGTCTTTCCATCATCATACGATTCGTGAACGAATATTGAGAGAAGCCTTTCCAGATCGCCCTTTTCTGGCCGCCCCCCGTTCTCAATGATCGCTCTAGCGATATTCAAGTTTCCGTGAATGATGGCCTCTGTGAATGGACGGCTGGTAGCAACACCCTTTTCGTTTGGGTCAGCACCATGCTCAATGAGAAGCTTAGCTAGAGTGGCGTGCTGATTATCCCATTCACGGTTGAAGTAGGGTTCACATTGTCGTGTGCAGATAATGTTGAGTGGAGTGATCTCGTCTCTCGAATCTTCCAATGTTGCTCCTGCATCCAGCAGCATCTTGGCAGAATCGTACAAACCCAGAATAGCAGAGCCTTCGGCAGTCTCACCGACCCTCGCAAGCGCAGACAGACCTTCATTGTCTACCGCGTTGACATTGGCACCACCTTCGAGCAATGCTTGCATTGCATCTGTGTTACAGCTCGCGCTAGCCACCATCAAAGGTGTCATTCCAAGAAGAGTTTCCCGTGCATCGACATCGAAACCCTTAGTAATGAATTTCTGAATGATTTCGGCCTCGGAGACCTTGCTAGATTGCTTCGGAGGAGATCCGAGGGGGTCAAAAAAGTCTTCTGGCCGGAGGTGACGAGGTCCGAGAATCAGGTGAAGGATACTGAATTGGTGTACAGATAATGTCGTGACATTTGAACCCAGATCAACGAGTCTTGCGGCGTCATCGAAGCGACGTGAGAAACATGCCATCATGAGGGGTGTCAGCCCCGTCTCAATGAGCCTCTTATCAAGATCAGCGCCATGTTGGAGGAGATATGGGACTACAGTGTCCCAATGTCCATACCATATTGCTTGGAACAGTGGTGTTCCCATAAACGGACCTTCAACATCGATGTCTTCTTGGTACTTTTCGTCAATGAGAAACTCAACGAGATCCATCATGTTCTCTTTCGCAGCATGATGTAGTGCGGTGAGTTTGAATCTGCTCGAGTCCACAGGGGTGTCGTCCTGTCGCCATGCGAGCGGTTCCAGCTCAAAGTCTATTCCCTGATAGATGACCGGCGACGCTCCACGTTTCAACAGAAACTTTGCCGTTTCGTACTGATTATGGCATATGGCGACATGTAAAGGTGTCCAGTTCCCCCCATGTAAATCTTCGAGCTCTCCTTCATCAACAGCTGGAGACTCGGTGAAAGCTTCCATGGGCAGATGTGGACGACACAAGCACACGCCCCATGAAGGGGCATCAATGGGAGCACCCGCATCGAGGAGAATCTCAATCATATCGATCCGTCCCTTACTCGCAGCAACGTGTATAGGCTCCCATCTGCAATCGCTGAATATGCCGTCGTCGCAACCGCTTTCGAAGCAATCGCACATGTCGTGTAACACATATGATGCGTCCAAATCAACTGAGTGGTCATCATCGTGAACCCTCCACACAGGGTCGTCGTAGTAATTCGAATGGTAGTTGTACCACTTATGCGCACGGTCGATGCGTGGTTTGGGTCGGTGGGTGAAGGCTACCCGTGAAGCGTCAACGCCAGCTTCGAGAGCACGGCGCAAGACATTGATGTCTCCATGTTCGACAGCCCAATGTATGGCACCCGGTCTATCCGATCGAGCTTCGCGTTTCCAGAGAATCGGGCTGGCGATATCGTAGCAGTGTCGGTTGGCTCGTGATAAGCTAGCTATATCATATTTCTTGACCAAGAACCCGGCGATATTACAGAGGACCTCGTTTGGCAGCCTGTCCAGCGAAGGCATGGTGGGCGAGCTACCTTGGGCGACGAGGGACCTGGAGAAGAGGATGATGCAAGGAAAGAAAAGTTAGGGTATGACTGAGTGAGTATGAGGGGGAGCTGTAGCTCATGCCTAATAATAATCCATGGCAATGGAATTTCTCGATTTTCCCGAAGTGGAGCTGTTTGGCGAAGCTCTCGCATCACGCCAAAGCTGGACGAGCCAACCAGATCGAGATTTACGTAGTTTAGCGGAGTTCGCTCCGCATCTAGTGCCATCAGCCCTGTCCTGGTCAACTGAAGCACTGTCCATTCGTTGTATGGTCCCAATACCTTGGGAGCGTGGGTTGTTTCATCGGGGGGAATTAAGCACTTTAGATGGAAAAGAGATGAAAAGTTTACATCATTTATTTCGACCCATAGCAATGTAACCAAACTTCATCATTACCGTTATGCCCAATACCCTGTAGAAGTGTCAGCGGCTGAGTGCTATGCAGGGTTCGACCCACTCTCAATCGTACATTGTTTTAGTCAAGACATCCATTGGATTGAATGGAAGGTCCATAGGTTTGGTTGAAACATGGGTCCATGATAGAATCGATGGGCTCAGATATTTCTGTGTCAATTGGAAACAAGGGAGGAAATAATCAAGGCGGTTTGCAGAATCGAAAGGCAATTCATCCCTGGAGCAGGCTCATTTACTTGGCACAGATCCAACAAGCCTGGCCGTTCAATGGCCTTGAGATACTCCCCCAGTCAACTGGATGTTATCGATGTGCAAGTTGCTTTTGGTGGCTCTGTGCACATTCTCCCATATACACTCTGGAATATCGTTGGTTTATTTTTCCACTTTCTCTGTGCTTCGTAAAGTCAGATGATGGTTTGTGATAACCAGGGGCAACCCAGCCTCAACGTCGACCACACTTGGCCCATTCTGCCTTGGACTTACAGCGGGAGGCCGGCCAACATGAAATGGAGGGTACAAACACAAGGCTATACACCCTCGACTAAAAGTCAAAATGAAATACTAGAGCGAAGCAACATTATATAAAGTTGATCCCTAACTAACTTTCATAGAGAATTCTTACTACTTTATCTATACTCCTGCATTGGCTATCAACACCATAGTCAAAACCTGAACCATGGGCGTTGGAAAGCCTCGTCTAGACAAATATGAGAAGATTCTCTCACGTCTTTTTGAGAATCTTGCATTATTCCATATACTCAAAGGCATCGATGGCCCTCACATGGTCACCGCCCATGCCCCAACTGATGTTCAAGGTATCAGGCGCAGGTTCCTCAAAAACTTGTGTTTCATCTGCGATTATCGAAAGGGCGGAGACACTACTACTTCAATTGCTCTAGAATCCCAGACAAACGAGGTTATTCTCTGGGTTGCCGCGAATTGCACGCCGCATGATAAAGTCATCCTGTTCCTGAACGATGTTCTTCAACAGCTACAAAGGGACCCGAAAGGGACCGAGGAAGAACGAGAAAGGCTGAGAGAGAAGTTGACGAAGAAATGCGTTGGCTTTGCAGCCCCAAGGCTGAAGAAAGAGTGCAAGCTATTGTTGCGGGCTGCTAGTTACTGCGAAAAGTATCTGAAAGAAGATGACACAACTGTCCAAGGAGCTGGTAAGTTGAGCCATAACAACAGGAAGAGGCATAACTAACCAGGGATATTCATAGAAAGAAGATCCCTCCTAGAGTGGCTACCTCGATTCTCTGCCACTAATACCGACACTCTAGCCCTTTGTAAAACTGCTTACGATTCTCGACATGATCTTCAGATGTCGAGCCTTGGGTCTCTGAGTAGAGAGCTTGGTGTTGCACCTCGAGAAACTGCAATGAATATCAAGGCAGTCAGACATTTGATAGGCCGTCTTGCCGAGAGAATCCGCATACCAGCACTCCTGATTGAAGATTTTCTCATGCTAGGACCACTTTTCAACTCTTATCAAATCAAGAAAATTCAGGCCCCTATCCCAGCAATTGTTCCGCCAGCGGATGGGCTTAGGAACCTCAACTCGATCCTAAAAAGGATACTACAGCCTAGGGATCCCCGTCTTGAGGATATGCAGAACTATCTCGCTCGATTAGATGGGCCACTAAAACTGGAAGAGGCCATCAGATCCATGTACGACGAGGATAAGGGCCAAGCACGTGTGCACTCCGAGATTCAGGTACTAGAAGAATTCCATCGCAACGAACGAAGCTTCGTCGGTAACGATCGCTACATAGCGTGCAGCAAGCTTTCATGTCTATGCTGCAAATTCTACTTTAAGTACCACCCTGGAAGGCTCGAGGAGCCCGAGTCTCATCAGAAAGCGTACCTGAACTGGAGACCTATCGAGTTGCCAGGCGGACGGGAGAATGAGCACTGGGCGCATCAGCGTCGAGTCTTGGGAATGCTTAGTAGTGAGCTGAGTACAGCAGTTGAAAAGCAGATCGAAACTCGGCAACGGCCTACCCCATGGCAGCCAGACTCTGTGACGAATATCACCGAGGCTATGAACTCTGCAAGCCTTGGCGAGGTTGAGGCTGACGAAGTCTTGGGAAACGGTGATGGATGGAGTGACGGCACAGATTCTGCCTCATTGGCACATATGAACGAAGATGAATTCAGCGATGAGAATGAGGATAGTGATGACGAGTCGGATGGAGGCGCAGGATTAGATGCTTGAAGTGACAAGAGCATATATCTAAGATTTTAGTTAACTACTACTATTGACAAATTGGATATTTAGGAAGAACCCAGCAATGGAGGAATACAAAATTAAATTTACTCTCGGTACACGCTATTAAAAGGACCGGCTAGCTACGGCGCTTCCTCTCCCTCTTCTTTCCATGATGTGCCTCCCGCTCATGTCTACTCAAGTTGCACTTCCTGGTAAACCACTCATTGCATAACAAACATTGGAAGGTCTTCCGGGAGCGGTGAGTCTTGTAGTGACGACGCATATCCTTCTGCCAAGCATCTGTATAGTTACAGCCAGGCCAGGAACAGTGAACAGGTCTGGTATGAGTTCGAAGATGGTTGCTAAGTTCTCGTTAGTAACGTGGGCATACAGAATTAAGGGATCACAAGCCTCACTTCCGCTTGCGATTCTCGTCGAAGGACTTATCGCATTTGGGCCAGTTGCAAAAAAATATTCCATTTCTTGAAAACTCGTCACTTTTCAGACGAGTCACGGCATCTTCTTCGAACCTTTCCTTACTGCTCGTTTCCGAACTTGAACTATTATCTGTTGAGATCTCAGCAGGAGGAGAAACAAAGTCTGACGCGATGAGACCAAAAGATTGTATCTGAGTTCCGTCACTTCCTAAAACCACAGGAGAGAATGCATCAAGGATTGCATCGTTCGACTGGCTGTATGCAGAACCTGCACTCTACAGAGTGGATGTGGGGTCTGGGGAGCCGGAGAGCGATACATATCCTGGAAGTACCTCATGTGCGGATTCAGGAAGATCGAGAAGAGATACAGGCGAGGATGAAAGGTCGAACTGAGCTGCTTCGACATTGCTGAGATGCGAATCCATCCCGATAATCGGCGCTGCGAAGTCAAAGTCGGAGCAGTCGTCCACAGCTGGAGGTGCGGAGTCCATAGCCAAGCCAAGAACATCCTCTTGATCCATCAAAGGGCCAAGAGAAACAATGTCCTGCGGCCATGAGCCCATGAGGCTCTGATCCACATCCTGAGAGTATGTCACTGTGCACAAGGCCTCGAAGTCCGTTGGAGACACTAGATACAAGGCGGCGCAACGTCAGTACAGCGGCCGGTGGAGTATCCCCAAGTATGATGACTCGAGCTTGACACTTTTAACTTACGGCTGAGCGAATTGTCCGAGCCTACGAAACTTAATTCCGTAGGCTCGTCCTGAATCTGGGGAAGTGACTGAGTATCACTCATGAGCTTGACGCTGCGAATGGGATTGGAAAGAGGGTGCATTTACAAAGAAACTCTCAGAGGAAGCGTTTCATTTTATACTCTGTTGTTGTTTTCTCCTTATCTCACATACTCTCGGCATGGCTTAGAATGACACTTTGAGTAGGCTTTCTCGCAACCTCTTGGCCAGGCAAGTTCCAATGATTGTCCCTCGACCCCTCAATTGGAGGTCAGAAGTCATGTTATTGGTATTTGGTTGGCCATGTTTGTTGGTCGGAAGTGTAAAAATGCCCGCTAGGGGAGGCCTACCTTATCTTATTGGCCGGTGATTAATGTGGTTGCATACACAGAGGTCGGGGCCAACGGGAACTTTGGCTTACACGGCCCGGGCTGAGGAGACGATGTCTTGGAGTGAACTCAATGGGTTTAATGGTGTGTTTTAATTCTGTCTTGAGACTTCCGACGGTTGCTTATTGGAGGTGACAGTAGCAAGGTAAACTTGTGCCTGGCGAAGTCTAATAAGTTGCAACCAACACCTGTCAGTCTTACCACCACCCCCAACTGAGGCTCTGTTTTTTCACGATATCAGCCTTGGTGAGAGAATAAGACTCTTGGTTGCCTCACCACATCTACACCAAGACAAGTAATGCTTTATCTCTCAACTTAATGAATAGACGTTACGATGCACCTCGGCGATGACATCAAGCCACAGTTTGGGGTAAAGTCACTGCCTAAACTATAACAAGTGGAATACAACTGGAGAAAGTCGTCAACTCGTCCAGGTCTAGACTGAAGACATTCTCCACAACCAAACCACGCCGTTGAAACCATGAGCGAGCCCGGTTCCTAGGCTAGGAGGAATTGAGGATACGGTTATCAAGAATAGACATTGACTAACCAAACCCCATTTCAAATCATGAGAGGTTTGCACTGACCAGCATCATATGATCATGATGGTGTTTTCACGTCTAAGCCGCCGCCAAGTAACGTTATGCTTCAATTAGTTGCATGATAGGACATCGAGATTGAGTTTACGTTTGGAAAAAATGCCCGCCCGAAAACTCCGACTCCCATGATACTATTCTGGAAGAATGTTGGTGATCTCATATGAACAGGCCACACGTAATTGAGATATGAACCGCATTTATGATATAATTCACGATGCAGGACACGAAAGATCATCGCAGTGACACATACAAAAAGACCCTGGTGATATCATTTCAAGGGATATGAAACCGCCATCTCGTAAAGATCTGTTGAGATCTTGATCAGAAACGTCATAAACGTTGACAGGTGATGGACTAGTAAGCCAACCCCTGCGACTGCAATGCCACGCAATGGAGCTCAACGTTTGACAAAACGGAATGTCCATGAGGACCAGCCATTTCGCGTAACACGAGGCTGAGGCCAGCCTCTGTCCTGTCAAACCAAGACCATCGTATCCTATTCCTTGGCATCGGTCTCGCCTGTGCATGTACGTTAGCTAACTAATCGTTAGTGGTAGATCCACAGATTTGGGTTTTATCGGCGAGAAAAAAACCAATGAATATCGTAGCATGTGACGGAAGAATGGCATTTGAATGATAAAAAAGGGAAGCTAATTATGGATATCGGATCTCCAATCATTGGACTAGGATCCTCTCATGTTTCGAAACGAGGGATTGAGCATCGTAATCTCTTGACGTCAGAAGCATTGGACCTCTTCATGACGATATTCATTTGCTTACTTGGGTGTGTTTGAGATTGTGTAATCAGTGTATTATAATAAGGTAATGTTTATATTAAGTTGTCTCTGATACTGGCCTCAACATCGTGAATGGCACCTGTCTCTTGTCCATTGCCGGAGAGAAACACCCATCCAATGAAATAGTCGCGGCAGGACCCTCGTATTAAAGGCCCCGACTTGGCCACAGCTGGGACCCCCCGCACCGGCGATCCCTCTAGCCATTCGCTAAACCCCCTGCAATCCACTGGAGCGGGTTCCACTATGGGCTCAATACCCACTGAGGATCCGCTAGTCACCTCACGATGCTATAGCCAGCCACTTCCAGGTTCCGATCGGCCAGCTACATCGGTTGAGGTGAGAACATTTTGAGGCAACATTAAAAGACTCGGCCATCGCCCTTTTTTTTTTTCTTGGTTTGCTCGTATCATCAGTTCACTTCAAAGACCACAAACACCATAGACAAGACATCAACTCGATTCTTGTCATCCTCTTCCCATTCTCCCTTCTCAAAATTTACCTCTCTGCATCAAAACTCTACCCAGCAACCATGCTCACATCAACCTTCTTCCTCAGCCTTCTCGGCCTTGCAGCGGCCTCACCGGTCCAGCCTCACATCAACGTGAACCCTCAATACCCTTCTCGGTCGACATCAAAAGGCTTCAAGCTCGTCGTCAACGTCACAGACCACTCCAAGGACTTTGATCCCCCCATCCACAACACCGAGCTCACCAGCATCCACACCGGAGCCGGCCTCGCCCTCGTCGGAGTTATCGAGAAGGACGGCCGTATCTTCTACCAAAACGGCACCAAGGAGGAGCGCCAAAACGGCGAGGCTACTGTCATCAGCGACGGTGGCACTCCTTTGACTCCCAATGGCATCGCTCTTGTGGCCGACAAGAAGAATAAGAACCTCTTCGGTGCTACTCTCAACTTCGAGCCCGGCACCCCCGGTGTTCAGTTGAACCAGCCCGAGGACCCCTACACATATCTGTTGCCCGAGACTTTCGTGGCGTGTAACAAGAGCTTGGAATACTACCAGGGCAAGCACTTCATCGTCATTGAGCAGGCACACCTCACCATCGACAAGAACAACAAGATCCAGCGCAACATCCCCAAGGGTTGTGCTCCCATCCGCCTTGTGCCCCAGTGTGCCGAGTTGGAAACTCTTCCTAAGGGATCGTACTCCAGCCACAAGTACGCTCTTGAGTCCAAATGCTACAAGGATGTTTCCAAGATCCAGTGGGAGAAGTACAGCCCTTAATTTGAGATATCTTGGTGAACAATGAGATGGAAATAATGATGAATGGGTAATGATTGTTTTGAACAGCCAGTATTACTAGGATTGGCATTAATAGCCTTAATAATGTATAACAGTTATCTTTATGCCTAAATGCTTCCTTTGCCTGTGACCTGTATTGTGAAATCACTTCTTCGAGACATCAGCGGTGAGGCATATGTGGGTATCACAACCTTACGCACAACCAGATCTAGACTTGCCACGCAGCTGGGTAATCCAAGGCCACACAAGAACAAAGACTGCTCGTGAAACCATGGCAGCTGCTTTTCCCGGCAATCGCGGGAGACGATTGGGAAGTGGATTGTCCCCGTAAAAGTCTATCATCAGGTGCTGCAGGCACATAAACTTAAACTCCACAGAGCCATTGTTTGTCCGTTAGCGGCTCGTCTTTGGACCAAAAGATAAGCTTCATGTACCAAAACGGAAGAGGAACGTTGTCTTGAGTCAGTTGTTTTGCCACTTGTGAATGATGTTTGCTACTGTTTATCCCTGTTTGTCAACTTAGATCATGATTCAGCCAAGTTTGCGACTTCAGCTGGAAATGAGAATAGGCTTGTCTTCGGCGGATTGAACTGGAGGTATTGTAAATCAGACCGATGGCAAAACTATACTTGTTTCTATTGAGGTGGAGGTTTGGGCTGGTACTTACACTCAACGGCTATGCAACGGCCACGCATGATGAAGGCGCCACGGAAGCCTATTTGGTCTGTATTGTTTGCTAAGAGCCTACTGAAAAGGGGTACCAACAAGAAGTCATCATCGACGACGATGGGGATGTCCCCCGGGTTGCCGCAATTCCTACCAACAACCCCCCAGCTCCCCCCGCCGTCAAAGCCTTTCTTGGGTCGATATCATCAATCAAAGCCAACAGATCGTCCAACACCCGCTGACTGTCAATTTATACACCGAGACAGACCTTACTGGCCTCGCTCGTTATGCGTGGTGCCTCCTTTCTGGCCTCTTGCTGCTCATCGTCAAGTTTGGCGATCCGTCTCTTTCGGTGTTCTTTCTCTCGTCCGGTGTCATTACTGCAGTACAATTTTGGCGGGTCTCTCTTTCTTGTATTTCTGTTGTTTCTACTCCTTTCAAGCTTACTATTATTCTGCGAAGCCCAATACGTGTGGCCATCATCCGTCGACCACGTCGCACCAAAGAAAATACTAGTTCGGTGGCGGTAATGTGTGCTATTCAAGAGAAGTGCGATGGTTTCTGGGTTTGTAACCATGGAAATCAGCTGCAGAGAAATCCCAGTCACATCTCTGCTACCTTCTGGCGTGGATGGAAAGGCCAGCCTGGCACTCACTATTTACGCCTCCCTACCTTTCGGCCATCAGTCCGTGACAACAGATTCACTGTCGTCGATTATGCCCTGGTGACAGAGTTCCAGTAAGCCAACTGTTGCAAGGAAACATGCAGGAACAAGTGAAGACTTACCAACTCCTGTGCGAGAATCCTTGCTCGTCGAAGGAAGACGTAAAATCTGTGGACCTCACGTCGCCTCTCTCGTTCCGCCTCCAAGATCAGCTGGTCGAGGAAATTGGTGACTCTGAAGCATGTTGCACCAATACACCCAGAGATATACTGGTCTTCTGCGATGTAAATGTTGTCGTGAAAGTAGTCATTGAAATGTTCAAGTCTGTCTCTGGCCCAGGCGTTCTCTATGTTCAAGAGCGCGACGGGATCCTCGGTTCTCCATTGCGTGTTACCATCTTCCGTCACCTGATACCATGTAACATCGAAGAGTTTTTGGGTGCGATTGCGGTAGCCAGCCGCGCCCGCGAGACGTAAGATGATGTCTATATCGTCGAACTGGCTCATAAGCCAGATTGCGGTTCTCGCTCTGCGCCGGCTCTCTGGTTATGCATCCGACCACCGGGCTACCCACGTCGTTTCTCAGCCGCGGCCTCCTGTTGCTCCTTTGTCATTGCTGCTCAGCAATTTCTTTTTAGTCCACGCCGCCTCCGCGGCAAGCAACCGAACTGGAAAATGCCAATGTGTATTTGATATCTATGTTGAAAACGTGAGTGGCGATCAGAAGCTCGATGGTGGTGCAAAGACCAAGCAGTCCGAGGCCAATTACAGGTCGTCCTAGAATAGCTTTGATCTGCAGCTAGATCGCACCGTCTCGCTTACAAAGATGATATATATATCCAGCTTTTACTAGCTGATACGGTGATGCGAAATATCTCGTATGGGTATGAAGGTTGTGTTGTGAAGGTGCGAAGAGAAGGTGGAGGATGGGGAAAAGGTATAGTTATTGCAAATCGTCAGGCACAGTTCGCTCTTTGCCGGGGTTGACAGCTGGGCAGTGTCGGCCATTTTCATCGCGACGACATTGCTTTCGAAAGTCAACCTTGATCACTTCGAAGCCCAAGGGCTCGATGCTTGTTCAAAATGTTAGATGTCAGTTTCTCATGTTAATAGTGAACTTACAGTGTTCAAGTCCGGTGACGAACTCGTCAGTGAAACATGGCTCGTCCGATTCAGCCATGATCGTCTTTTCTCGCAGAGGACAGAGCATGAGGATAGCAACAGCCTAATTTCCTTTATATTTTTGAAATGCGTCGACCAAGGGCCTTAACCATTGACATTCTGGAGACACATATGCTCAAAAGCGGCAAGAAAACCATCTGGTTCGATCACAGACCGAGGCACCGAGAAATAACGGCGATCTGAATCAATTCAAAGATACCAGGTATCGACCTGAACTCGTCGTCAAGCATGGTTGGCTCAGTCCAACAACTGCGCCTCTGTCCAGTCACAGGCTCGGCAGATACGTTTCGCAGCTCTTCAGGGAGTTGGGTGTTGAGTGGGAGGTCAATCGCATCATGGGCATGAGCCTGATGAGGATAATGTCAAGGATTCCCACGGTTGCGAGACACACCATCTAGAAATCTGATGTCATTCCCTAACGAAGTAGCCAGGGGAACCGACGCATTGCGTGCATCATTTGGGGGTAATGATGCCCACTGGGCACGTATGGTGTTCGTGCTTTTGCCATCTAGCCACCAAGTTGATTTGCTTCAATCACTGAGTATTGTTAGAGGGGCGTCGTTGATTGACATATGACAGCATACCTTCAAACAGTCACTGGAGAGATCAGAATGGGCTCAGCTGGCACTCGGGGTTGGTTGCAATGGGATAACCGCGTTGAAACTGGTGGGATGATGACAGGAGGAGTTGGATGATAATGAGAAGATGAGAGAGAAGTAATGTCCTTTGCACATGAATTGTTTTGAGCAGCCATCTCATACCTTCCTCGCACACTGAAACATTGACCTCCTGCCATGGTGATGTCTTTGCTCCTGCCAAATAGCCAGCAAAGTAAGAAGGTGCGGAGTGGTGGCTCACTGGCGGTCAATCTATCCATGCATTTCCTGGTGAAGTCTTCTTGCCGATGATGATGATGATGATGGCGAGTAGAGTGAGAAGGTGCCAGGTGGTGGTTCCACCGGCGGTCAATCAGGGCATACACTTGCGTGTCATTGTGTTACTTAGGTTCTGATATGCCTACCCGAGCGGCAAAATGCTTGTCAGTTGCTGGCACTGCCTGACAACCCTTATTTTCGATATTCATAATGATTAGATCTCTACCTTAGTAGGTACTGTATGAAGAATCGCATACGTAGAATTCGATTGACTGTTATTGTTTCTCTATTTATTCTGCTTCTTGCTGATGTCCTTATTTTCTTTCCTTATAGCTAAGATTTCTCGGCGATGGAGTCATGATCCGAGAAAGAGACGTTTACCTTTGAACATCGTTTTGAGAATCATTTCAATATCCTCAGACTTGCGCCTCTTCATCTTCGCTGATGAAAAAGTTTTTAAAAAGGGAAGAATGTCAACAGCTCGATAAATTTTCATGACTTTCGGCCGCAGATTTTCACGGGCAAGAAAGCTCTTGCGATGCAGTATTACTGTGATATTGCCTGACTACGATGTTTAACTCTACCTACTCGGCTCTGCCTGCATATTCTTTTGGCCCCTTTCTCCATTTATCGATCGAACTGCCCAGAATCCACTACCTACCTAGGCCAAGGAGGTCTCGAGATGATTCCAATGATATACAGGAAGTTGTTACCTCTCTAGTAACAGTAAGTCACTACTATGAACACTTTTTCGCGAAGAGTTTCTTATATTGGTGTTCAGTATCTCTTGCAGGGCGCCCATGTCCAACTACACCCCAGCCTCAGCCTCAGCCTGTGCTTCTCCGAGCCTGCACTCCTCTTCACACATTCATAAATTCTCCCCTCTTCCATCCCTCCGCCCTCCTTCTGCTCCTTTATGCTCCCTCATCCCCTCTCCCCCTGCATCGCCGTTCATACTCCCTGACATCATCCTCTCCTGCAGCGTCTTTCGCGCTCTCTGGCATTCTCTCCTCCTGCGTCGACTCTGCTTCTCTGTCGGTGCGACCCTTCTCGAAATGATGGAAAATGATGGAAGATCACCCTGGGAATGTTGGCCATGCTAATATGGCGCCTAGCAGTACCATCAAGGAAGAGCCGGATAGTCGCCCTCTCCCCGTGACAGGTACTCGCTACGAGGACTTCGAGTCAGATGGTGGTTACCCGACATCTCGACCAGGCGGTTGTTTTATGAACAGGCCCACAGACCTCAATGTTCATGAAAAGTTCGATGTCGGCAACAACCTTCGAAAACGGGTCAAGACAGAGCACCCTGAGCTCTACCACAAAGTCCGACCGGAGGAGATCAATATCTCGGCGAATCAAAGGGCAGACTTCTTCTGCACACTCTATAAAGACTGGACCAGCGCTGCAGACCTTGAAGAGATGCCCTCCTCTCCCCGCCCCAAAACCAAGGATGACACTCGTATCCATGTCGGCAAATGGAATCAATATTTGCCACCGTCAGACAACAAGAGGAGGAGAGATGAGGGTGACGACAACAAGTCTCCCACGCCGTCCCCCAAAAAACCCAAGAAGAGGGAGGAGGGTCGATTGCGAGACAAACCAGCATACCTCGCGGTTGGCTCCTCCGCTGGTAAAGGAGTAGACAAGGTCACCTCCGATTTCAAAGATGGAAGTGGCCAGATGGCGACCAGTCAGTACATCGACTGGAAGTCAAAGGACAACATCAACCAACTCAAGCGCCGCTGCCTCACGAAATAGGAGCGTAACGAGCGAACCCGGATTCGACAATTCAATCAAGGACGCACCCTCATCTCCTCTCGCAACTACATCATTGAGGCTGCGGCTGCTGGGTTTGTCGAAGGGTCCCGTCCGTCTGTCAGCCTTCCGGGAGTCATCGAGCTTGTCGAACACGAGAGAATGCGAAGATCGTCGAGGCGTTAGCGGCCGAATTCTGCTATATATAAGCGACTGATGAAAGACTTCTTCGGTCTTTCGACCTCAGGGCTCGTCTAAATCAAGTATACTTATGATGAGGATGGCCTAAAAAATTCCTAAACTTAGAAAGTTTCATCCTAAAGTTTTTGAATATTGCACCCAGTAGTTACCAGGGGTTATCAGCTTATAAAATATTCTCAGAAGCTTTACCATTCTTCAACTCCTCATCTCCCTCCATCCCCATCATCAGAGCTTCCAACAACGACAAGAACAGCGGTATATCCATCAGCTCCCTACTGCATATTACCAGAGCTAACATCGCCAGATGCCTGAGTATTCACAAGAATACCTCGATTTCTTCGGCCTTAAGTGGATAACTTGGTGGTCGAGTGCCAGCGTAGGGTCCTGACCCGGTACTCACTATGCGTACGATGTATTTGGTATGATGCGGACATTTATCTCGATGGAGCTTTGAAGGAGACGAGTCTATTCTATGGTCAATCGATTTTATGCGGAAGTACGCATCCTATATCTTGTTATTACTTATTATTCGCACTTGATCCGTTTATTCTGTAGCTTTTATTCCGATAAGATAATAAATACAAGGGATCCCGCCATGACTCTCTCGTCATTGGATGAACGTCCCGTAATATGGACATCAGTTGAGGCCACCGATACTCCGGTATACTGCGTTACCGTTCCTTTCATTTGAACTCGATAGCGATCAGTTGTACCAGCTAGCACGTTGACTCGGCCCAGATGTGCGCCAGGCCGGGAAAGGGGGATACGGCCTGAATCTTCCTCTCCGTCTACCAGTATGTGACCGCGTGCAAATCTCTCTTTCAGCTCTGTATCCATGGACGCGAGAGAGAGAAGGGAGTTTGCATCATGAAGCTGGCGAAGTTGCCAGCACAATCGGCAATAGGGCAATGACCTTGAGCGAGGTTGGACGGATTGAGTACTAAGTTTGCCGTCCTTTGACCGAAGGCCGATCATATCTATGACTTGAGTGAGGTTTGGCTTCTTGTTGCCGAAATTCAGCTCTGACGGGATTTGATCAACAGTATTGCCATTCATCTCGGCATCAATCCTGCGACAGGAAAGATAGTTCCTTGCAGTCATTGGAGCTGTGTAGAGATTCTGTGGCATGTTCTGTTGGTCAACCATGCGGCCGACCAAGAGTATGGGAGCAGCTGTGTCCAAGTACGAACTTTTTCCATGAGCTAGCGATCCATGAATTGAAGAGCCTCAGGGGGCAAGAAAACTTGCGACCTTAAACTAGGGTACCAAAATAAACTGGGCTAAAGGCCTGCTAAGATATACTAAACTTACCTAAGCCTTTTCGTCCCTTAGGATAGAGGTCCTAGGTATCCTTGACTCCTCTAGAAGGGTGATTAGAATCTGCATCTGGAACACAGTGTCGTTCGCAGCATTGTGAAGCAATTCGGGGCCACCTTGCTCTCGATCCTCGTCGCTTTGGCGCCTCATATCTTTGTATGTGAGACCGAGAAGATTCATGACCTTAGAGCAGGCAGGCGTCCCCCAAAGGCCGCCTGGACGAGATGGTGCTTTTGGAGGTCAATGAATTTACATTTGTCGCGAGAACCAGCCAAGACCAAGACGAGCCAGGGTGTTTTCCTCCAGTGTGCAACCCGCGGCGATAGAAGGGTTAGTAGCTATGCTGATCAAGGTACGGGCCCAGCTCCTGAATTGCTGACCATCTGTCTGGCGCGATCTCTAACAAATGCAGTTTCGAGGAGGACTGGTCGTTCGGTCTCCGGAGGGAGGTATGCCCCGTGGCCCGTACCGGTCTGAGCGAAACGCATCACTCCACAACGAGCGGTGTTGATGATGAGTCTGATGTTGTAAGCTTTGGTACGTTCTTTAGTATTGCGATCTACCCGCTGAATGACAGTATCGATGCACCTTGCGATTGTTCCACCGTTCAGCTCTGCATGTGAAGGGTTGGTGAACTTTCTGTCTCCACCTTTCCATATAGTTGTGAACATTTGATCTCGGGTTGTGGTTGAGATTCTCATGTAGACCGGGGCTAGGTGCTTTCGGGCAGCGCCGGGCGCATCAGGGTAATGGAGGCTCTGCGGGTGGTCATACTTCAAGTAGCCAACTTGAACTCTGGCATCAATGAGGGTGATTGCTGGCATGTGTCTGTTATCTGCGTTGCTATTGAACGCATTCCAATCACGGGATACTTCTCTCCAGAAACGCCGCAAGTCTTCGACTTGATAAGGAACTCCAAGTCCTTGCTGGACCTCTTGCTCTTTGTTCAGCGAGATCCACACACCGCATGAGCTCGCTTCTGCAAAGCTCTTCCTCAGAGTATACATTAGTAGAAGGATGGCGATTGTTCATGCATTGAATTATATTAACGGCGTCATATGCCGAGAGTCCTTGAGGGACGTTGCCAGCAAACGGGGGAACTTGGTAGATGCTGTCAACAACTGGGGGGGTTGGGGGAATTCAGGGGTAGTTGGCAGCAACTGGGCGAACTTGGGGAGCATCGTCATCGACACGATGACGATGGCCTCTTGTTGGTTAGCCATGGCTTTTTGCAGACGAGAGAGGAGATATAGAAGAAAGGGATGTGGGAGGGGAAGTGAGGATGAAGAGGGAGAGAGAAGAAGGGTTGAAGGAAGGTCAATCTAATCCCACGCCAGGAAAACGACATTGCGCTCAAGCTTGTTGGCTATTTCGTGCACAGTACGTTCCCGAGGCTTGAGAGTATCTTGAAACAGGCGTTTAAGGGTTAAGGCCAGGTGGGGAGAATATATATATTGGGTTGTTTCGAATACAAAGCTGTACAGCTCTGTAATATGGTCCCATTTCTTCATACACGTACAGTCGTCGCCAAAGTGGCCTCGAAATTCGTTAATGATATAGTGACTGGCTGTCATTTTTTTCTGAAGATCGAAAGCTCGATCTCCGGGCGGCGGGTAGGGCTTGTCGGAGGCAACCATTTTGCGTGTATCGATATAAGTCCACCCGACCTCAGTGATAGGGCTGTAGCGATACTGGTGACCGGCCCTGTAGTGGGACTTAGAATAGTCATCAACCGTCTCGCAGCAAAGGCTCTCCAAATCGATCGAGATGATGATGGGGGGCTCATCCTCTAGAGGCGATAGGATTTTGTGGCTGCGTTCTAAACAGGCAGAAACCGTTTCAACTTGTCCTCGTTAGGAGTTTGAGCGTTGTTGTCAACCCGGCGATAAGACTCGATGCCAGAAGATGTAGACGGATGTAAGCCAGTGTGCTTTCTCCAACTTGACATTGGGCCAGGCGGAGGCTCCGCTTTCTTATTTTTATTCTTCTTGCCCATTTCGATATTATAATATGGCACAGCGACTCAGGAAGCGATATCGAGTAGGGAGCAGATCAGCAAAGTTCAAGAGTGTCGTCAGTGTATACCAATGGATATGAGCGAGGCAGGGAACAAACCAAGAGTATGTGATATAGGTAGGTAAGGTAGGTTAGTTGTAGGAAGCCTCGCAGCAGAACGCAGTTTATGGCACCTGGCAACAATCTGTCTTTCTTGATAAGGTAATTTGAGCTCGCCATAACAGGTGTCACCTTATGCCTCAAGAGAAGCCGAAGAGAGTAGATCTATTCTACGCCAGAAGCTTTCTCGTGTCAAGAGTTGCCAGCCAATCTCGGTAGTGATATATACGGAAGTAATAATATATAATATCAGGAAACGTCTCATATAGAAAAACAATGACGAATCATACTTGAAGCAAGTCGAGTCTCTCAAGAAAATATTCAGCTTGTCTGATGCTCAACTAACACTACATAACCAAGGTAGTGTGTTTCTGCACGGATCAGACGTAACACCAGAATAAGGTTACTACAACAATGTAGGAATGAGCACTTCTCTGGCAAATTCTCCCTGTGCGGCCATGTTCACACCAGGTTGACGACAGTTGACGTGCGGCGACAGGCTGATGATATCGAACATTGAGAGACCTTGGCGGCGAAGACCAACAAATGGGGGAATTTGGGGGACATTGGTAGCAGCCGGGGGAACTGAAGGGAGGTTGGCAGCAACTCGGGGATGTTGCAGGATATCATCATCGTCGATGGTGATGATGACTTATTGTTGGTCAGCCATGACTTGCGGCAGATGAATAAGCGGATATAAAGGAAGGAGATCTGGGAGGGGACAAAGGAGAGCGAGAGGAAGATATCAAGAAAGAAACGTCCTACCCTACATCCTCCCCTACTATGTACCAGACTTCTAGCTAAGGTTGGAAAGAAAAGCCTGAGAACTTCTCTTCTATTTATACTTTATTAAAATGTTTGTAACAGAATGTTTACATCCCCGACTTATGTTCAATATATTACAAATTTGCTGTTGTGCTCCACGTTTACCGAACTTGGAAGCGAAAACACCACAATTTGCAGCAAAAGAACAGTCATTCGGCCCTAGACATTTGATCCGCGAGACGATTTCCAATATTTGTCTTTCGTTTGTATTTTCTTACAAGTCAATTTGTTTGCAAAAGTGTGTATTTTCGTAAAGAGTGTAAGTAACAGTGCCATCCTATGGAGGTAGCTTGCCTTATCCTCAGTTCTTAGGAACCCCCTTTTCGACCTGAAATGCAACTTCGATGTATTCAACGAATTTTCCAAGTTATTTCTATAGCAAAGCCTCCTCTTCAGCTCAGCACGAGCTCGGTTAACGGTGTTTACGCGGTGCATGTCGATGTTCTCAAGACATGCAATGCAATAACTTCGCTTCTGATTTTATCTAACTCTTCGTTAATTGGCTATAAGGGTAGGTCGTTGGCATTGCCTATAGATGTACCAATCTTTGAATACTTGAGTCCAAAAGCTCTGCCAGTGTTCGAATCGGTAAACGGCTTCAAGTCGTTCCTCGACTCGGTGCTTCTTTTGAGCGAGGTCGGCGAACATTGTGAGTTCATTACATGGAAAACAGCTAGGACAAAATGACAAAAACAGGCCGCCAAACAGAAACGCAAGACTCAATATGAAATGAAGAAAGCGAACGCAGCACTTTCAGAAGAACGGAAACAAACGAACAGTTTGAGAAGGGTGCAGCGGAAAGAAAGAGTTCGAAGAGTAGAAGCCAATGACGGGTTAGATCTCGAGAGGTGAGGCATTTTGGACCAAGTATTCACAAAGGGACATTGCTATCTGGGCAAAAGACTGGAAGAAGTTATCCAATGCGAAAATGAATCATATGGTTGCATTAGGGGTGGCTTCAAGTTGTCCTGACCATCCGAAATAGGCCACGCTTATGTTCGTTGATTGAAGCTTAATGCGTTGCTCACTTCCTTTGCAAGTGGCATATCTTTACACACACTCTACGCAGTTGGCCACATTCGACATCATCTCAGTACTTTAGTCAATAAAACTCAAGATCAACTATTACCTGACGCCACTTGTCGTCTCTGTTTCATTCATTTAGCTCAGTGGTTCCACAGCGTTCATCCATCCTCCTAGGTGGTCAAGCACCAACTCTTCGCAAAGCCCAGCTTATCGGAGAACGCGCTGCAGATGATCGAAATGTTTATTGAACTATGCTTCGAGCCTCTCCTCATCTCAGCACCGAGAGAATACAGTAGTCCAATGGCTAGTGTGTGGTCTTGTGGGAGGGGACGCCGCATGAGATACGTGCTGAACTTTGTTATTAGGTTTAACTTCTGAATCCATGTGGAAAGAAGACTCAGTTTCTGAACAGCACAACATTTACCAATCGGTGCCGGCATTAGGTTGGTTGCTGGGCGAATCATAGCTTGGATTCACATCTTGGGTTTATTGAGTGGAAATGAACAGAAGCCTTCCATTGGGGGTATCATCAGATACTTAAGGTGTAAGTGACAGTAAATCGAATCAGGGATTGTAAACATTTCACGACTATCTTTCTGATCTAGTGACCTGACAATATTTCCCAGAGAAGACACGTATATAAGGAGCTGCTCTCTCTTTGACTTGGGAAACCTTTTTCCCTTTTCAGTTACCCTCTTTTCTTTCACTCCTTGCTGTGACAGTATCTACTACACTCACAACCTCTTCATCACGACACCATTTACCACACGCAAACCTTGCCTCATACCTCTCTTGGCATAATGAGTGGATCGATACGGTCTTTATGGTCGCGGCCTTCGTGGTCTTCAAGATCTTCAAGTCCTTCCAAATCTGAGCAATCTTCAGGGTCGCCACGGTTTTCACAAAATGTTAAAAAGTACATCGAGGAATACGGGCAACGAATGAAAACAAAGATGGGCCAGGCCCGCAGAGGCATTAAAAAGGCTGCTTCTAAAGCCAAGAACATGCGAACCCATTTCTATGGTCGTGAAAAGACTCTCTGTAAGCGGTACGTTTCTCCTTTTTCCAAGCAGAAGTGGTTGATTGTTGACTTCTTCTCAGAATGGGGAGATATACCAAACTAGATGAAAGCAAGTCGGAGTAGACCACTTCAGTATTCCCCTCGGAAGACCTGTGTTTCATTACAGCACATTTAAGAGATCAAATGATCTTTGTGTGTTGCTGGAAGGACTCATATTTTTGTAGCTTTGTCCCCTTACGGCACGCTTAGATTGCGATTTAGCTGAAAGGAATCAGACTTGCGATAAAAACATTAATATTTGTCGTTCGCCGGCTCGAGATCAAGTCAGATTGTGTACTCAGGAAGCTCGACATTAAACTCTGAGCTTAAAGTGATACGTATCGAGTAGTTGCCACAATCCAAGCCCGCAGCTCTCTCTAGGATTCTCGCGTGCTGTTGAGGTCGACGGGGTTGTCTTTGCGAAATTAAAAGGGGGTCATATTGTAACCTCTCATTATCTCACTTTCCGTACTACTGGGTGTTGAAAACCTTGGCCGTGTATAGATTCCGCAAAAGCTATGAGACGAGACTGTCTTTCTAAGTTCGTCTATTTTTGAGATAGTTTAGTGTGAATGGTAAAACTCAGAATAACTGAGCATTAGAAACCAACGGTTAGCTTCCGAAAAGATTTGGTGATTTTCTCATGGTTCTCCGAGTCGACACAACTCCATTCTTACTTGTTGGGCGGCATTAGTGTCAGTCATGAATAAATAATGCTATGCATAGAGAAAACTAGCCCAGGATCAACATGGGAGCCCTCAAAATATGAAAACGGCAGTGGGTTGCCAGACTTCAAGGCTATATGGGCATATTCAGGGGCAAGGAGCATTGGTAAATGCCAGCCATGCTTGGACTTGGCAGCAGATATAAGTAAATGTAGAGTATTCGACCAAACTGGATTCTCCCTGTGAGCTTTTCTGATCTCTTCATTTATCTGCTTTGGGGACAGTGGAACTTGCTGTCGGTAAAATTAAAGCCGATGTACTATGAAACCTCCAATCATCAACAAAATCTAGTGTCCCTTCATGTATCAACGCATGGCCTGTCCACCATATCACAACCGTTCTTAATTCATCATAGATGAAAGTAGAGAAAGCGTGTCTTTTCAAGGTCAGGGTATTGATTAACTAAATATCTTGGAAGAACAATGATATACCACAAGCATATGAAACCAGGAGGAAAAAGGGCGAGAGTTGCCGAGTTTCAATGAGACAGCTGGGGAGGGAAGTTTTCTCAATTTCTTCTGCTGTTGATGTCCTGGACCAGAGGCATCTTGGAGAGCCAGTTACTAAAAGCTCAGCATAGACATGCCTAAGCAATATGGCGAGCAGGGAACAAAAGTTCTGTTATGCTGAGCATCTTGATTGTGAAGCATGTCACTTATGAACAACAACATGGACTTTTAAATCCAGCTCTAGTCATAGAATAAAAGACATAATTCTTTAGTGCAATCAATTACTTTGGCTGTTTAGACAGAAAAGTCAAGACCTATCCTATCCTACGAAATTCCGAAGAAGCTATAAAATACCAATGCAAATTCCCTCCAGTAAAAAGCCAGGAGCCTGTTGCTCTACGTCAAAGGACAATTACTCTACCAACAACGAGCTGTAATCTTCCATAATAAAAAAAAGCGACACTTCTTCTCAAGGCATAAGTAAAAGCGGTGTTTCCTAGCTTCGCCCTGACATTATTAATACGTTCAACAAATCAGGGGTAGCACACTGGCAAATGAACAAAACGTAAGAAGTTTGGACAAGGCAGACTATTTCTGACCGTGGCCTCAAGCGAAGGGCAAGCGAAGGGACCGAGTGATACGCATCTCGAAGGTACTTGACTGGACTTTGGCGCAATCTAGGTAGAATCAATTAGTAAGATTGCATTGGACATGTCAGGAGCTTACAACTTGCTTGAGACTAGCGATAGTGAACAAGACTGGCATCATCTTATGCATCTTCATCACGATCCCCATATTGTAGGTAGGAATTATCTCCAAAGCTTGGTGCAGGTCGATGAAGAAAGGCTCTGCGGACTGCATCTTCTGGTTAAGAAGCCCCATGGGGGGTCATCCTCAAGCGGATCTCTTCAGCTCTTCTTCAATGATTGCCTCACGTTCCGAGTGGGCCATGAGAAGACATTCAACTTGGCCGACAATTCTGTCTCAGCGTTGCTCAACCCAATCGATCCAAAGCACCATTTTGAAAAGAGTGCCGGAGATACAGCCGCACATGAAGTGGCCCTCTGCAATGAGCTCGTTCGACCAGTATAGTTCCTCAAATTTCTCCAGACGATCCCTAGCCCACTCGCTTTCTCGCCAGGCGAGCTTGCTGAAGCCACATGAGACTTCGTAGTTGATATTACTATTAGCCTCATGTGGTGTCCATTCAACACCAAAAAGACGTTCAGTTCTATACCTATAGGAAGCGCTTTTGGAAAGTCCAGCACAAACATCCCAGTTTGCGTAGATCTTGATGTATTGCAAGGTGCACCTTGCCATGTTTTCCAGAGCCCAGAGGCCCTCTGACCAACGGGCAACCCATTCATCACCCCAGGACTGTAGATAGTCTGTGGTGTATTCGGGCATATTGGGATGTTGAGGGAGCTTGAAGGGGTGGTGATTATGTGTTGATAGTTGTGGAGTAAAGCAACTGCTGTATCTTTTTTGCTGTAAACGAGTCGAAGATTGATGTTGATGAAGGAAAAGATGAAGGATCGAAGAAACAGTTATCAAGGAATTAACATTACGGGTGACTAGGTATACAATCCTAAGAGCCACTGCTATGATGGAATGGCATCAAGAAGTTACTGCCACTGCCACTGTCAACTTGACTGTTCTGATATTCGAACACATCATGGCACTGGCAATGTAACAGACACTGATGCTTGCTTTGGTAATCATTTCACTGCATGAATTCATTTATATTCTTTTTTATTTTGTTTTTCATTTGTGCTTCTTTGCTCTTTCCTCCAACCGTTCAGACTACAGCATCGTCAGCATGTCTTCCAACGTCATCACGAGCGAAAGCCCTGAGGCGATAGCTTCGACTACAGGACCCCAAGTCCACAATAGTCAAGCTACCCATGCTCAGCAAGCATCTACAACTCATCAGAATACCCAAGTTGCTCAGGCTCATCAGTCTCAAGAAGAGCTTCAACATCCTCCAGCTCCTTTGGAACTCATTGATCGTGTCGATGAACTCGTCGCCGACATTCCCAACCAACAGCAAAATGTTCAGAATCCCATTGCCGACCAGGCTAACATGCAGTCAGTTGCCGGTCTCTCCTTTAACCAGCACAGTCCCTATCAGAATATCATGCAGCAGTCGAACGTCTTTCCCCAGCAGCCTAGCAACCCGAACTTCGCTCAGCATACATATGGATACCCCTCTCAGCAGGATTTCCAGTATCCTTCTCACGCTGGCCAACAGCAATATCCTCAGATGGGACAGCGATTTCCCTCTCAGTCGGCGTTTCACTTCAATCAGCAGTTCGGGAACCCCTATCTTTCTCAGCAAAACTTCCAACAGAGTTCACAACTCCAGGCTCATCCGCACCATTATGCCGCGTTTCAAGACCCACGAGACGGCGCACCACCTCAGCATCAGTCTACTCAGGGTATGCCCCTCAACCTCGCCGGAGGTGGAAATGCCTTGGCCATGCAGCACCCTGAGCAACTTGGAAATCCCGCCCAGCAGGTTGCTCCAGCAGCCTCAACACATCCGATCTGTCATGAAGTCGGTTTCAAGAACCTCCTTGAAGATCAGGATGTCGTTGAATCCCGAGGCGCTGATGAATGTGTTTCCGAACACAGCCAGCTCGTCATCAAAGAGAAGATGTCGCTACACGATCTCATCAAGCTGTACGAATACGTCCAGCGGAAGGGGGATGTCTATCTCCCAGCCGATGATACCTACAAGCTCTTCTGGAGTGCTCTCTTCAAAAACTGGAATTCCGAGATGCCAGTTTCCGAAAGTCACCCTCTGCCTGCGCGTAGCAAATCAGACATTCACATCCAGGTCGGCTACTACTCTACCGATGCCTCCAGCAACCAACTAGCAAATGGGCGCCGAAGCTCCAAGGCTCGCAAGGGCAACGCGGTTCCGATCTATCTTTCACTCGATCTTGACGCAGAGGGCATTAACTGGCTTTACAAAGACAAGAATGGACAACGTGTCCATAGGTCGCAAGTCAAGCTTCTGGTCAGTCTCAGCGATACTCAAGCCAAGCATAATGTCATGACCCATTACGACACTTATGAGAAAAACAGAGTCTGTGGACACAATCTTCAGCTCATCATTGAGGCTGCTCGACGACGAGTTCAGAAATGGGCGATTGCAGGTAGTGGAGCCAATGTCGAGTTAGGGGTTAAGTGCCGACCTCCAACAAACCTCCTTCGACTAGTACTCGCGTCTGAACACTTTAGAAATCAGCATTTGAAGAACTGTGCTGTCGCTGATCTTGAGGCCCTACGGCCTAAGTCGGGCTACGGGGATCGAAAGAATTGAAACGGAGGTGTATTCGCGATAGATCTCAATGGCAAGTCATTCTTCCTTGTGCTAGGTATTTGACTTGTTTCTAACATCTTTTAAAGTCAACCCTTACCTTACTGAAGGGCTTGCTCGTATAGGGCGTGTTCGCGCTTAATGAATGTCAAGGTTCAGTTGCTACCAGGTATAATTGGCAATGGAAGTGACAGGTGCTTGGAGTCCTGATGTCGATACCGGCTTTTGAATGGATGGATGTACTAGTCATCTTGGAGTTGCCAAATCAATAATAGACCCTGATTGGCTGAACACTGGCTTCAACCAATTGTGAAATAACTGCATGTCCACGAAGCTAATGCAGCTTCGGTACCGTCTAACTTTGCTCAATCAGCATGGTTACATCAAGGATTTTCTTGGGCCATGAAAATTGGTACGCTAAGAGCACCAAGTTTCAAATCATCGCCACCTCACTTCTTCGTTGCGTTATGTATGTTCAAAAGGGAAACGGTTGGAACTCTTTATTGTCCTCGATCCATCTATCTCGTGTACAGTTCTAATCTAAAATCGCCAATCTCTACAACCATAATATCCAGCCAGGTATCGAAAACAAAGCCCCTGAATCAAATATCAAACGCCTTTACCTCCCACCCTAGTGCCACTCAGCGTCGATCTTCTCCCAGTTGTCAAGGAAACTCTTGAAGAACTTGACACCCAGGCCGGGATCCAGTGCACCAGTAGTGGCGCGGATGGAGTGCATGCTGAGTTGTGGAAGACCAACATCTGCAGCTCGGACACCAATCATGCTAGACAGTGCCGGGCCAATGGTTCCACCGCTTCGAGAGTCACTTCGAATTTGGAATCTCTGTGTTCGGCATCCACCAAGCTCACCGGCCCGCTCCATAATAGCAGCGGAGACACTATCCGTGGTCATATGGGCGTTGGAGTCGTAGGTGATAGCTACACCAACATTGAGCTCCGGCACATGCTCAGGGAGATATTTCTCAAGGAAGTTGGGATTTCCAGCATGTGTAACATCGGCAGACGCGAGGAAGCTTGCAGACCATGTTTGTCCTTGAAGTCCTGGTCCATATACATCTGGACTAAGACTCTCGACAGTTCTTTCAACCACAGAGGGAAGAAAGTTTCCACGGGCACCCTGCCTCAGCAAGCTACCGATTTCTTCGTCGTCAAATAGAGCGACGAGCTTGATCCCTCCCTCTTCACTGTTTTCTGAAGATGCTAAGAGGGCTGTAAGGGCTGCCCAAGAACACAACTTATCATCAATGCGACCCGCGAAGATGAATTCCCGATCCAGGCCACCGGTCTGAGCGGGCTGAGAGTCATACAGCTCGAGTTCCCAGTTGACAATTGAACTATAAGATTGGATGTTGAGTTCCTTGGCAATGAGTTCAACCAGTCGTGGGGGCTGCGTGTTGACGAAAGAGCCGGCGGGTCCAAGAGCCTCGGTAGACGCACGCTGTGAACTCTCTAGGCCGATAATAGGAACGGCTTGAGTCTCAGCGTTGTTGTTCCCCATCATACCAACTCCGAAATGAGGCGCAAGAGTGGGGATTCGGGCGATGGGCCAGTCTAGCTTCACCAGCTTTACAGTCTTCTTCCCGGTTTCTTTATCATCGAGGATAACTCGTCCACCAATGCTGAGATCCCGGTCCCACCAGGTTGCATTGAGGGCTCCAGCATATGGTGCTGCTCCCAATTGAATGTATCCGGCCTTGACAGGCTTGGTGCTAACGGGCTTGAGCTTCGCGGCGAGAGCGTCAATGTGACCACCGATCATGGCAACACCATCTCCAGGCTTATACGCTTTACCAACTTTAAAAGCGATCAGAGAGCTCCCATTCCGAGTGACCCAGTACTTTCCACCAGGCTGAATCTTGCCCGACCAGTTATCGCGGGGAGAGAGTTGCTCATATCCAAGCGCCTTCAGCTTGTTCTCAAAGTAATCGACGGTGTGAAAAATCGTAGGGTTCTCCCGAAGAAAGTCGCAGAAAGGCTTGGTAAAACACTCAGGCTCCATCTTCTCAACCTGGCACAGTTTACAGGCCTGGCCGGCCTCAAGGTGCCAGTTGACCTGGCCGACTTCATCAGGCGCAAGCTTGGTAATACAAGATGCGCATACACGGTTGTCCTTCGTATCGCGGCCCTTCATATCTGAAATGATGAAGTTCTTGGAACTTTGCTTCGGTTCGGTCTTTTGGGGCGCAGTCGCATTGTTGTTGAGCGTAGCTGACGACGATAGCGCTTGTTGTCGCAACGATAGTGACGAAGCGCGGGCGCTCAGCATTGCAGGCGTAACCTGAGTCATTTTAAGGGATGAAGCTATGTGCAAGCTGGAGAATTAAATGAGACTTGTTGTCAAAGGTCGAAAGGCGGAATCGGTGAAAGGTGGAATGTGAAAGGTAAGGATTATCAATGCTTGGTTGGATATTGTCGAGGTTGAGCTACATATAACAACGACGATCTCGGAGCTACCTAGGTTACCTGGTCAGTGCGTTGCGTGACCTGCCGAACATGGGTCATGTGTTGAGATAAGGACAACAGAAATACAAGAACTTACCGTATTACCTACCTTCAGATAAGGCATCTAGTTAAGGTAGTATATTAATATCCACTGGAAGAACCTTGAAAACTCATGACCAGGCACTTCTGTCAGCACTGGGTTTATTTATTTATTTTTTATAGCAGAAACAATTAATCATCTCCCTTCATTCCGTCAGAATCGATTACAACACTGAAGCAATGCACCAATGCGACACCGTTAACAAAAGCATACAGCAATATATATCATATCGCTATCGATTTTCATATTGACCCTTGATGACAGATAGACCGTGAGCCAGCATCGAATACCCTGGTCATCGCAGAACTCAAAACATGAGTTACAAGCATCGCACGATACAATCTGTCGCATTCAGTATCATAATCAAATACACAAGCAGAAGAAATTGCGTACCAGTAGCATTGATTTCATGGGGTTGCGCCATCGTCGTGATTAATCTCCGCTCCGGGATCTTCAGATCAAACTTTAGTAGTGGACATAAGAGGAGCATGTTCCAGGCCAAGACTGACATATAATCAAGTAGTCGGATAATAGCCATAGATCGACCAACCCACGACAACCCTTTTCAGGATATGATTGCTTCTGGCGCAGGGCAAGCTGTGATGCAAGCGCATCACGTCTCCCAACAGGCGTCACCACTCTCAATTTTGGGCAAGATCGGATCTGTACCAAATCGGGTAGGGACTCTGTGGCCTGTATATGCGGGTAGTCGACCTTCCATAACGCCGTCATTGGCATATTTGACGATTCGCTTGCGAGCAGTGTGGATTATGGCCTCGAGATTGTATTTATGAACCCGGGAAGCCTGGCTCTTGTCGTAATCTTTGATGCTTCGCATGTAGGCATCTTCACGAGTCGAGCCAGGTGGCTTGAAAGTTACATGCTCTGGATCACCAAACTCGTCATCAGCGTCCATATATAGGAATACGATCACGATTTTCTTGCCATCCTTATACATTGAAGGAATCATAAACACTTTTTGACCAGCCTGCCTGGCTGTCGTGTGTTGACGAATCGGTTCCTGCTCACCATTCTCTAGGGCACGTTTGCGTTCCTCGCGCGAGACTGGGAGATCTTGGCTCCATACGCCAACTTCAGTCTTTCCGCCTGTGAAGACATAAGGTATGTATTCTGGGCTGTAGAGAGGTTTGGAAGATTCCCAGTCAGAGAAGATACTGGAGAAGAAGGACTCGCGTTGAGATTGCGTAATTGGGCAAAGGCTGAGAAGGTCGGTGGTGTTGTGGGAAACATCGAGCCAGGCAATAAGCAGGTCTCTTAGTTCGTGCCTTTCAAGATATGTTAGATGGCAGAAGTGTGTGATAATTGCATCGGGTGCGCGAGACGTGGTGATGCTGGAGTCTCCATGGAAGTCTTCTAGCTCGACGCCCTTGATGGGAATAAGAGCCATCTCGATGCTCTGATGAGCCATTCTGCCTTTTCTTCGATTATACGCGTATTGTAAAAAGGTTTCGTCTTCTCAGAATCGTTTTGTGATCTTGTTAGCAATGCTTAAAGAGATGAACGACATGAATCTCACGGGGAGATATAAGATGCGTTTTGATGGTAGACTCTATTTGTACGATGATCTTCCCCTCCAATAGATGCTATTGCCTTGGAGAATAGGCGTGAAAGTTTCGCCTTCCTTCCACTGTTCACAAACTAAGGTAAGTGTCAGGGTCAGGCGCTGCCTATTGACTCTCGGAAGGCACGTTGCTAACGTAAAGTCTAACATATCTAACATGGGACGGATGATCTCAGGGGTAAAATACAAAGGCTCTGATTGCTTCTCGTAGACGAAAACAATATAAAAAGTCCATTTCCAAAGCAATTCGATCGAAACAATATATGTGCATGTGAATGTGTGTAGCATATGTATGGGGGTATCTAAACTAGCTATGCTGAACAATTTACCAGGTAGGTATGCAACCAATCTATGGAGCACCAGCCCAGAACCAAATCAACGGTATCTCGAACTCGAAGATGCTCGTGCTAAATCTTCAGCCTCCGACATCTCCAGTAGGCTAACAGCCTCGTCGGCATCATCTTCATCGTCGGATTGTCCCAGCTCGGCAGCAGGGTCCTCACTGGTCTGTTCGAGAGGACGGCGCTTCTTCTCAAAGTCCTGCTTGTGCGCTTCGGCAAGCATGCGTGAGAATGTGCGTTTTGGGGGTGGTGGGGGCGCCACTCCTCCTGTTCTGCGTCGAGACAAGCCTTCTTCTGCTTGACCGGCTGAGACGGCGGTGGATTCGGCTGTGCCGTGGCGGGAGGGTGTTTCGAGTGAGGCAACACCTACAATGTCGTCGGGTTGGTGGCTGGCGACGGTGCTGTCCATACTGGCACGAGCGATGAGGGGCTCGATTCTATAGGGGAGGGGCACATCGCGGGAGGCCTTGTACTGAGAGACGTTTCCGCAGTGCTCATTCTCAACGCGGAAGAGAGTCCACATGCCTCGACGGGTGACTTCCATGAAGGCGACCATGAAGGAGACGATGGTGGAGTGCTGGGTGTTGTGGGTGAAAATGGCATAAAAGATCCAGGCAAATCGAAGGATAGGATCTACCACCATGATGAAGTAGTATAGCCATCGTCGCTTCAGGGCAAGGATATCTCGAAGACACCAGTGCCGCGAATTAGGTTGAAGAAGAGAGAAATCCATAAAAAGATCCCAGAAAGCTGGTGGTTGTCAGAAGTGTTTGCAAATAGTGAGGCAAGCAACTTACAGCAATAGATACTATTAATGGTTGAAAAGGTAATGAATAAAGCAAGATGCATCTTGGAATCATGTATACGGTAGAAAGACAGCATCACAGCAGCAATTATAGTCGCCGTATACTTGCCACCGTTGACTAGATGAGGAAAGACATTGCGTGTATCTTTATATCGACGAAGGCATTGTAAAAATCGCCAAATGGGTGGAAGAGCAGTCAAGAATCCAAGGGCCCGTGAGTGGCTAGAGTTGCACTGCACCGGATTCTGCCAGTAGTTGGCATACAAACAGAAGAATAGTTCAATATTCTGGGATTGTTAGTAATTGCTCGTTTTCAGTTGAGATTCTTTGTACTTACTGCGGTAGCATATGTAAGTGAACAGTAAATATCTCCGAGGAAGAAATCACGGAACTCGACTGGGTAGAGTCCAGCCAAGAGCAAACGCCACTGGTTCATGTCAGCAGCTTTCAACAATGAGTGAGGGAAGACTTACATGAGAATATGCAAACCAGCGCCGGCTTTTATAGAGCAATGTAGGGGCAGGAAAGAATAAAATAACAATAGTAAAGAAGATAAGAATAACTGGATAGTAGATGTACATGTCTGGGTCGCCATATCTACTAAAGTTCACCCACATGAAGAGGCCCAGTACCAAGAAGAAGAAACTTGGAAATTGAGCCAGCTCTCTCCAGTCTAGATGATGCCGCTGATCGAATTCAAAGATGAAGGGGTAGTTGACTTTGTTCTGGTTCCAGATTAAACAGTCAATGCAAAAAAGCGAGAACAGATAGAGCATGAGGAAATAGCCTCCGTAGATCTGCATGAGATAGCTCGTCCGCACGCGTACTTCGACGTCGTCATCGTACAACAGTTGTGCTCCGTAAATAAGGCCCTGGATCGCGAACACAGCACCAGTGCCAATGAGCAGACCATTCTGGAACATGCCGATTGACTGGTCTTCAGGCTTCTTGTTCAGACTGCGGAGCTTGCCAGCGGCTAGCTTGTGGTTACCGCGCTCGAAATAGCGAGCATACAGGTCTTCCACCGTACGAATGTGCCCCTCGAGTACATCGCTGTTGACAAACCATGACTGGTTGACCTTTTCGTTGAGATAACGATACGGAGGTCGGGCATTGACAGCCTTGTCATATTTCTTGTTGAGCTTTCGAAATGCCGTGCGGTTAAGCATTGCGTATGACTTGAGCAATTCAAGCCCACGATAAAACTCTTGGAGTGCGAGTTTGAGCTTGCGCTTTGCTGTGCGATATGAGACTTCGTGTTGGGTCGGGCGACGGATGTAGTCTCTCTCAGCGTCACCCACGACACCACCGTTGATATTGGGTGTCGTGTTCATCTTCTGCAACGCCTTCGTGTTGGGTCCGATAGGGAATATCTTGGACTTGATAGGATCCATGATCCCATTGAGCTTGCCATTGGCGCTATCATGGGTTCCTTTTTTCTGAGGATTCTCCTCCCGGGCTCGCTCATCGGCCATCTCTTGAATTCGACGGTTGCGCATCTCGTGGAGCTGTACTCTCAAAATGTCCAACCTCTGACCAGCCTGTTCTTCCTTCATCTTATAGAAACTCTCAACCTTTTCAAGCTCTGAATCGAGGAAGTCAAAGAACTCTCGCTCCCTCTCCTTAACCAGGTCGAAGTTCTGCATGTTGATATCAACTCTGCGGTCGCTTTTTGCTGTTGATTGGTGGGTAAATAGTCGTCGGAGGTGAGAAGGTGAATCCTGAGCACCAGATTCGGATGGTTTCTTGGTCGAGTTGTTTACGTCCGGCGATGCAATTGTCGATACGACACTGGCTGATGATGTTCGTCGAGGATCAATTCGCTGAATATTTCGTCGCATCACCTCGGTGGGCCCAACAGTAGCAGGCGAAGCGGGGAGGTCGCTCTCATGATCATGAACTTTCAGCGCGGGCGCAGGTAATTGAAATTCGGCATGTTTGGTCTCGCCAGCCAAAGGCGACGGCTCAGGTGGTGTGTTGACAAAGCTTCCATAGTGTCGGTTGTCGCCCGAATCTGTGAGGGACTCGTTTTCGGCGGCTCTGCTTCGCGGCGTGGGGATCGACCTCGGGGGCGCAACGGCTGCTACCGATGGAATTGTCGCAGAATTCAAAGCCGTGTTCTCTCTTGTAAACGGTTGTCGCAGTGTTGCAGGCGAAGCAAATGTGCCTGTGCGAAGCTGCCCAAGACCTCGAGGTGTTCCATTTGCACGAGCAAGAGCTCTACCGACAGCTTTGATGTGCTTCTTCCCTTGTTTGTAGTTGAGGTACTTGATGCGCCATTCTACACGTTTAAAGTTAGTTTTTTATCCAATCTACAAGACAATCCTTGGGTATTTACCAGGCACAGCTTCTCGCTCGAGCTCCTTGGCGAACTTCATGACAGCTGCTCACAGCCGAACAATAAGAGGACTATAAACCTGCAGCATCTAAAATTTGGATGAAGGTCGCTAAAGAAGTTAGGGGTAAAAAAAGCTTGGGCTTAATTAAGCTCGTGGAAAATTTGTTGGATCGCGTCAAATCCGTCAACGTGCCCCTCCCTGGTGATCATGAATGGATTCGACCACTAGGGTCAGGAGCTTTGAGTTCAGATGAACGAATGAATTGCTTTTGACGTCAGTGCACGAGGTCCTCACTAGAGAGAAACGAAACGAATCCGGTAGCCAAGACGGGGAATGACTTCCGCATCAGCATGGGTTATTAGGTGCCGAATTACCCTACACAAAATAATTGAGTTCTGATTTTTGAGGTGAAAGATGATGATAATAGCCCAAGGAAAGGATGCTTGGAATTTCAAGTCTTAAGGAATTTGACTGTGGCGAATTAACCCTTATTCTGCTAACCTAAACTTGAGTTCCGAGGCCACAGCTGGCTTACAACTCAATCCAACGAATGAATTATTGCCGCCCCCAGCGGTTGGATTTCGAGTTGTTGAATAAACGACGATCATTAGGAACACAAGAGAAAGAAAGATGATCTCACATAAGATTTGAATCCGATTTTAGAATTATGCGGTGCAACCGTTGATATCTGGGTTTGACGTTCAACGTGTGCATCCAAACTTATCTCAACGTTGAACTTAATGTGGTTTCTTGTCACATCAAATGGTGATGCAGACTACCATATTACATAAAGCTATCTGATTGTATTCCGATGCATATTTAGCAATTGCAGTGCGATAGAACTGACTTCTTGACTAACACAACGATGCGAGGATCTACGTATACTTGCCAAACTGTTACCGAAGATGCCAAGTGTATTCCAAAATTAAAGTTGTGACATATGCTCTGTCTTTCCCTCGATTCTATTCTACGCGTAACATAACTTGCTTACAAAAGGAACCTTATTGTTATGCCCTGTCAAGGTTTAGAAAAACACTTCAGTAAACGCCCGGCGGTGTAGTATCCGACTCTGCCGACCTTTGATCTATCAGGGACAACGCAGCCGAAACATAGCTTTTGCTGACGTGTTAATCGAAAGGTCATCAAAAGAGGAAATGATCAGACCTAAACTTTGGTGAAAAGATGATGTTCCTGAAGTTTTGAACACATTATGTTACTATTGACTCATAGTGCTCAGAAACCACCCCGTGTGCAACAACGAATCGGCAAGACTTGACACACACAAATTTCAAGAACAAATCGAAATTTCTCAAGACCGAATTAGAGAGAAACGTTAATATGTGGTTAAATTATGGTCCCCCA